CCAGATCTAAACCCTATCGAACTGTGGAGCCAGCTCAAAAAAAGGTTTAGATCTCGTCGAAACAATCCTACAAATCTCGCACAGCTTATTGATGCAGCATTAGCAGAATGGGAAAACATACCCCAAGACAACGTTGATAATTTAATAAGAAGCATGCCATCGCGGATAGAAGCTTGTATAAGGGCTAGAGGTGGCAACAAGGATTATTAAAATTATCAGTTATTTTCTTTTTGTTTTTGCTTTTTGGCCATAAAAATTTAAAACTTAATTTCGTTCCAAAAACCAAAAAAATACCATTGTGTTTATTTTAGGAACTGATTATTTTTTTATTTCTATATGAATTATTTTTCATTAAAAGTCATTGATAAGGACTGAGTTTTATTCCCAAGCACAAAATTTTCATACGTCTGAAAAATTATGACAAATAATAGATGATTCCATATAAGTTTAGTTGCGTGTATTATAGACAAATCATGTGTTTAACAAAACATAAGAATCTTTAGAAAAGTTGTGTTGGCTTATTATAGGGATAACGTATAGTTGTAAGTACAAAACACTCAGTACATATATTTAAATTTCTATAGTAAGCATGTTGTTTCCATAATGTATAAACAAAAATACTCCTGAATTTGGGGTACGTGCAGAAATTTAGATTTAGAGCAAGAAATTCTTTATCGTAAAACACATGCAGCCACAAGCTGTGTGCCGATTTGTATTAAACCGATATGTGGGGTATTATGTAAAGCAAAGGCATTTTCGGAATTCGGATATCAAAATCCGATGTCACTTTACAGAATGCTTTTCGGAAAGTATTAAATTAATCTCATTTTAATGAAACGATGTTACAGAAAACAAAGTAAAAATGTTAAGTAATTAAAATTTTCTTTTGCAAAATTAAACTAAAAATAAAGAGTATGTAAAACTTGGAAAATAAGTTCGTTAGAATAATACTTTTATTTATTCACTGTTCTAATGCACAATATGCATTCCTTCGAAAACTCTCTATTTATTTATATAGTAATGCTAAAACACTCTATTTGAAAGTCGATTAGAGAAATAGGCGCGTTTCCACGGGTCGACTCAAGTCGAACGAATAGGTAGTTCGACCGAAAGTCGAATGTGTAAACACTGATTCTACTAAGTCGCTCGATTAGTGGTTCGATTCGACTGAAGTCGAGAGTCAGTCTACTTTTTGTGTTTCGATTTATGATGTTTTAGTCGAACGACTGGAAGTCGCTTGTGTATACGCCAAATTCGACTAAATATTTTATGTTTATGTGTCTGGAATTGCCGGTTTGTTTAAATTAAAGGTTAGAAAATGGCTACAAAGTGGAAGGATAATGAAATGGGTTTATTCTTGGACTTATACAAAAATCACCAGTGCTTATGGAATGTTAAAGTAGAGAGTAGTAAGTAAAGTAGTAAGCAGTAAAGTAGAGATTATAATAATCAAGATAGAACTTCTGCACTTGACCTTACTGTTAATGATCTGAAATTAAAAATACTTGAAGCATTTATAATAGAGACCGCGGATCTTCTATAGCCAGTTCTTTTAACAGTCTATTTGACGCTCCGAGTGTATTACGTCTTAATATCCAGGGGCGTGTCCAACATTGTCTTCTTTTCTTTTTCTTTATCAGAATATTTTTAAGTTCCTCAATTAAAACTTTGGTTATAATAGCAACACCTGTTACAATCACCTCGCCACCGTTCATCGCCATTTTAAAACTGTGCAAATTATTCGACGTGAGTAGAAACGTGGAAACATTTTTTTTTTCGACTCAAGTCGAACTACCTAGTCGTTCGACTTGAGACGACCCGTGGAAACGCGCCTTATGATTCATTGGCAAGCGATGTAAATATTTGTGATCAGGTAAAATTGTGATGTAAGAGGAGGCTTAGCTTGCCGGCGGCGGCGGCGGGTCAGTAGTAGACGGGCCGGCCGGCTGTGTAGTGTTGTGTTTTGTCATAGAGCTGACATTTGGGGGTTGCGAGTCTTTTGACTATAAAAGTTGCATGTACTGTAAGGTAACGCGTCGTTTGACCATTGAGAAGAAAACCTCTTGTGAAGTCTTGCCTTCGAGGTTGGTCTTGAGAGTTTGAGGTCTCCCTTGTCTTCTCGATTGACGATGCGGCGTTGGGGTAGTGAGGTACCCCAATTAGTTTATTCGATTGGGATGCGAATCTGTTTAGCGGCAGATTTGCTTCCGGGGAAGCCCCTATACTATTTCAGGTGACACTAGCTAGTTTTTGAAGATTATTAACCAATAGATCCGAATAATATTTGAGTTAGATGGAAGATTTGGAATGGAATATATTGAATAGAATGTCAGTGATGTCAGTGGCTAGGGGGCGGAGTACCCCCGGGTGAGTTTTACCATTTAACTATCAATTTTATCAAGATCAGTAAATGTTTGTTTTGTTATTTTCATGTACAATGAGAGAGTACTTGCCAATGACCAACTAAATGGATATTTGAGGTGAATTTGCATTGTGAGACCCGGTTGAGTAAGCCCCAGAAATAAACGATTTTACAAGTATTATAATAAATGTTGTGGTCTAATTACTATAAAAAAATCTGAAAATAATAATTAAAGTGGTTATTAACTTTATTAATTTATTATACAACTAGCTAACCGAAGTAAAGTAAAAAAAAATTGTCAATCTTTTCTATCAATCGGTTTGACAGTTGTTCTCATTTGTTTACTATACAGGGTGTCCCAATATACCGTGGATAGAACTACTACGTTTTGTACGAATCAAAGTAAGCCCTTTGAACACAATTTACCTCTATAGAAAAGTGCATCGCTTGTCAGTTAAAGGGCATCAAACTTCAAAAAATAACAACATAAACTTTAGAAAAATTAGAGTAAATATAAAACCGCATACTATTTTAGCTTTATAATTTTATGTTTTTTTTTATTTTTATTAAAAAACGATAATTCTATCATTCGGCGGGATAGCCTGGCAGCTGTGGCCATTAAAGCAAAATACTACTACATCTATATCTCTGACTACTACTAACCAACAATTTGTCTTGTGTGGTCTGTGGTCTGTTATTGCTTAAATGTTTTGTTCATTATTCATGTAGGGGATTTATTTTTAAATTAATATCAATTGTTAGGCAAAGTCATAGAGTATGTATTTCTTTTGCATAATCAAAATTGTTACTATAAATTTTACATAACCAAATTGTCATTCTAAAAGATGTCACTTTGTAGCATGTTTTTTAAACTTGCTACCTTTTTTGATAATAGCCCTTTCTCTTTTTATTAATTATTGTTTATAAATTTCCCTTAATTAATTATAATATTTAGATATGTCTTTATCATAATTTTATATATATATTTAACAGCAGCGGGTGAGCTACGCAGTTTCTTTTCAATTTATCTTTCTAATATTTTCCCCAAAATACCTGTTTATTTGGTCAGTACGGCAATGCCGCTAACTTCTGTTTTCTGATGCCATTTCTGGATTGTCAAATCTTTGGAGGTTCATTTTGATCGATGATTGTTCTTTTCGAGATCGTCTTTTTTGGTGAAATACTGTACTGTTGGTTCCTGTGGGGATTACCAGTTTAATTTTTGGATGCTCTGGAATAATTTTATAAATTTTTACAAGATTTGCCTGAACCAAAATAGTAAAGATTTTTTTTGTGTGCCATGTGGCTAGATATTGGGTAAGTTCACCTATTCACGTTTTTTTTTCACGTGTGTCTTTTCAATTCTGATTCTTAATAATTTTCAATAGATTTGGACAATTGTGGAATGGATCCACTAATTTTGTTCATTAAATTGTCGATGGTAGCTGGATGACTTGTTAGTTACGCTTTGGGGTAAGATATCATAACCTAAAATCTACAAATATTAATTTAAATATTGTCCACAGGGTTTTGGTTATTTCTTTCTGGTTTTTACTTTTCCTGGTTTTCCTTTCTTGCTTTGATGGTTTTATTTTTTACATTCACGTGCACGTGATCACATGGTGTCGAGACATCCACCCTGTTTTCCAACTCAACAAACATTTGTGGCCTTGCTGATGCAACTATAGTTCCTGGAGTTCACCCTGGTCAACCTTGCCGTGCTCAGCTGCTGTTGTTGGATAAGTTACCCAGGCTTGTATACTTTTATTTTGGGGTACACTATAAAAAGGTAAAGATAGTAAAGTCTGATTTAATTTTATTAGTTTTTTTATAAGTAGTTTTCAACATCTGTAATATTTCACTTAATTATATACTTTTCAATTTAATTATATACTTTAATTACAAATTTAAATAATATTTTAACCTCATTTTCAAAATTTAAACCTATTTCATTATTTTTCTGGTTGTTATAAAACAAACGTATTTTATAACCAAACATTAATTTTAATTAATATATTTGGATTTAGTAGAGTAGAATCTTATTTGTTTTATTGCATGAATGAGGTTCCATCTTGGCAAATATCTTTTCTTAATAACTAATTTTCTGAATCTTTAATGTTATTTAACTACTAGGTAGATTCAGCGGCGCTCATTTGAGCACAAACCTTACTCACCCTATAATGCTCTCCAGGCGAACAGCACCGTCGCCGTAATGTATTAATAACATTTTATTTTATTATTACGTTGCGTTACAACTTGTCTTGTCATTATTCAATTCATTATTCTAATTCTCAGAATGTTGTTAACACAAGTTTCATCTTTCAATAAAATAATAAGCAATCACAATTGTTTATCTCCATCATTTACAGGATTAATAATACAGAAATTACAGTTCAATTAAACACGGTTCATTATTTATAGTGATTTACAGTAATTTCATTAAATTATACGAATATTTTCGTTGATTATTGGTTTGAAATAAATATTTCAGAATTTCTCTAATGCCTACTAACCCTAAATTTTAATTCTGAGCTGGCAAATGAACTAGAAACTACGTACCAAAACAAAAATATTGGATATTTTACTTTAAGCAAATTTAATTCTTCAATTCTTATAATATGTTGTATTTTTGTTTCAGATTTCTTTAAATCAACACACACCCATTGGAGTAATGTAGCTCTTTAGATCTACACAACGCTATGCATCTATAAGAGAATCCACATTTATTCACCACAATGAATTCTAACGTTATCCTAAATTTGACCAGTGTTAATATGACCCAAAGTGACGTGTCTATAAGCGGTAGTTTAGTGAACACGTCGAATGCCACAGATGATTATATTCCTTACTCTGAAAGACCAGAAACGTACTTTGTGCCAGTTCTATTTTTCCTAATTTTTGTGGTCGGCTGTTTGGGAAACGGAACTCTAGTTATCATATTTTTAAAGAACCGGACAATGAGGAATGTACCAAACACGTAAGTAAAAAATCAATAAACCCTTTGAAATGTTAAGTATTTATTTGTTGGTCGTATCTATGTAGAAGCATCATATTTTTGGTTTTTAAAATGTTTCATTTCTGTTATATAAATAGATGTAATAAAATAAAATTTAAAATATTTGCATACGGCAGTTTATTATCAAAGTCTTTAAATTATTCAAAAAAAGAACATCAATATTGGGATATACGTATTATTCTTTATTCAAATTGACTCAGATTTTACAAGGTTCTAAAACCTGAGATTTTTAACTGAAAAGCTATGTAAAACAAGACAAATTTTTCCGAGGCTCATCAAGATGCGTAAAACTGTGCTCGCTATCGGAGTTGAACCAATCTAAAAAGTTTTATTAGCTTGAATAATAAATTGTAATACAAGTTAGACCTTCTAAAAATATAAAAATATTTAATTTTTTATTTTTAGAATTTTCACAAATTATACTTTCTAACACTCTAAACCTATATATTTGTATATACTAGTGATTTACGATATTTTCCGATGGTGGCGGCACCGGCGCAGAATACACTGAACTTATAATCTGTCCAACGAATTAAAGAAGATTCGACATTAGAGAAAAATTACAGAAAATTCAATTTGTCTGTGTTGCATTAGGTAAAATATAACTCTAACCATACTCTCATAAAATATAAAGTGGACTGGAAAATATAGATCGAAATTTTAAAGATATTGCAGGACATATTTTCAATGAATATATAATGCGATAAGGATATAAAATAGGTACATGAGGTAATGATAAGATCATGTGTTCCATATTTTAGAAAGAAAGATCGATGCATTACATTTAAAATAATTGCCAATTATTATTGTTTCGGAATATAGGCAATTCTGTTTTCATAGTTTTATCTTTTATTTTTATCGCAATAATTGGTCTAGTAAAGAAAATAGTTTAACTGGGCTTTTTAATTGGTTGTTAAAATTCATTATAATTACTGAAACAAAGCAAGATCTTACAGCTGAACTATATTTTGCCAATAATTTTGCTCGATAGGGAGATACTTAGAAATACTAGAAAAAAATCAAGAAATATGCAGTATCTTAATAAATTATTAAAATATATTTTAAAGCAAATAAATATTTAATAAAAATTGCAATTGATAATTATTTATATATACCTGAACGGTTCTATATTCAAACATATCAATAAAATATTTAGCCATACAAAAAATATATATTTTCTGTGGCATATCTAATAACGATATAAGTATATTATTATTATATCTATGAGATACCTTTTGTAATCAATACTATAATTATTGATATTATAACGTTATAATAATATACTATTTATTATAACGTTATAATATCAATAATTATAGTATTGATTACAAAAGGTATCTCATAGATATTGAAATTATAACTTATTGTTAGCAAACCAATGATACTTGTTTAACTGTTTAATATATTGTTATATTTTAACAGAAAATTTACTTTATATTTATTCAGCAAAGATTATAGTTATATAATGGATAATTTTGTCTCAAGATATTAGCTATTTTCTTGATGAAAATAACAATAGCTCCTTATTGTACCAATCAGTACATAAGTTAAATCTAATTAAGTCTAAATGCCTCACACAGTATAGTAAAGGAATGACAATTATCTTGTTAACAAAATTTCGGTAATTTTGTCAAGGTCTCTGATGAAAGTTCTAAAGCTTTCATCAGACAAGCAAAATCTTGATTAATGTAACCGCGTTTAGAAATTTTATATAATATAGATTATATACAGTCTTAGAGTGCGATAAGCAGTAACAGGGGGGTGTAATTTGCAATAATGAACTTTAATTTAATTGGTAAGGAAGTTATGAAACTTAAGCTGATTCTCTAGTTGATTCTAACCCTACCATTACTTCCGACATTATAGTAGTCACTTTTTATTATAAATAATGGCATGTCTGTTAAAATAGGACGAGTTTCCTAATGTATTCTGAGCAACGGACGGCAAGGCTAAACCTGTGCAAAGTCCAGAGACTAGCATGCGTTTGCATCACAGGAGCCATGAGAACCTGTTCAACAGCAGCAATGGAGGTCATTCTAGATCTAACACCACTGCACATTGTCATTGGTAGATATGCTCATGATATAATGATTAGAATAGTCACTAACGGAATCAGTACTGGGAGAATGGTCAGATCAGGGGCTTGGAACACCCTCAAAAAGGAAATACCACTCCTGCAACTCAGTGGATGATATAATATGCCAAGAACATACAACTTTGAGAAACATCTCAATGTAGTATTAAGCAATAAAAAGGATTGGAAGAGAGAAACATCTGCCCAGCAGTCAAAAAAGACCATACCATAACTTGGTATACTGATGCTTCGAAAACCAATGCGGGAACAGGGATCGCAGTATTTGGGTCGAGAACTAAATACTCCGAACCAATGGGCACCTACCCCAGTATCCTACAGGCAGAAATCTACGCTATCGAAAGACTTATCTTAGATAGGAACTATCGGAAACAAAAAATAGCCATCTTATCTGATAGTCAAGCAGCGTTAAAAGCGATATCAATTCAGTATCAATCAATTCGAAATTGGTCAAAGAATGCATAGAGAAGCTGAATAAATTATGCAAAAAAAACAAAGTCCTCCTACTCTAGGTGCCCGCTCACCAAGACGTAGACCTACTCTAGGTGCCTGCTCACCAAGGGATAGAAGGCAATGGAAAAGCAAATGATCTAGCTAGAAAAGGAGCGAACACTCCACAAACTGGACCAGAACCGTTCTGCTTTCCAAGTAGTAACCAACTCAAGGCGGATCTAAATATATTAACTTTTCCGGCAATAATGATTCCGGGCAAGTACTGCGGCGACTTCTACATCTGAATGGAGGCTTTCGGAATCGCTCATCGTAATTTTTAAAATGATTTTTCTGGGAAAAAAGTGCTCGCGTTTACTTGACAGGGCAAACTGATTTTTCAGAAAAAAATGTGACAAATGTCATAGTTAAAGGTGTTAAAGGTGGGCGACTAATAAACGAAAATTAAAACAGCATTTTCTTATTTTTCGGTTGTAGATAAAACGTTGTACATAACACGTGCGTTTAAACATGATTACAACACTCGTGATTAGAACGACTCGGTCTACGACCTCGTCGTTCTAATCGTTCACACTCGTTGTAATCATGTTCATAAACACACTTGTACTGTAAATAACTATTAAAACGTGTTATTTAGGTTCACTAATAAAATATAAATGATACTTCAAATTTATTATTTAACAGGTATTTCAAATCTATTATTTATGTATAGACGACAGTAATAAAAGAAAATATCCTTGAATATTTTAATAAAACATAAACGAAATGTCCCTTCTTGTCTATTCAAGATATTCTGAGATAATGCGAGATAAATCTTTAAAAATAAAATGAAATATGCTTTCTATAGATCCAAATGTAATAAAGTATTACAGTTTTATTTCAGAACCTTTGTCATGTGCATCGTAAATCATAAACCGATTTCGGAGATGCTCTATCTTTTAAAAGCAATTTATTTTAAATTTTTTATTATTATTCTGCCATGTACCTTAAAATTGAATTAAAGTTTTTAAAGACAATTCTTTACAACAACAATTTTTTTAAAAATTATTAGTGGCTTTTATGAATTTTTTTATAAATTCAAATTAAAATGTGAATAAGAACACATGCAGGGTGGTCCGAATTGTATTTATGAAACTTCAGCAGCTCTACAGATAAAAATAAATTAAAATTTTCGTAAAAATGTATGTTCTAAAATGCTTCGTTTCGGAGATACGGGGTGTAGAAGTTTTATTTTTATTTCAATTTTTTTCAAATAATTTTTGAACTAATGTCAATATTTGGATGAAAATTGGTGTCTGGGAGTTTTTTTGACATGAGAAATTTGATTTTGGTGTTAATATGACTTCTACTTGTAGAGAGCGCCTTTTACATATTTTTTTTCTGGTTTGAAGGGTAATAACTTTTCTTCCGTACCTGTATAAAAGTACTGAGTGAAAAAATATATATTTCCGTGATTTTTTACGTAAAAAATGTCTCTTGTTAAAACTTGCTACGAGCAACCATTCTCAAGATATTTAGATTGAAAATAGTCAATACATGTCATTATTGACAAAAACAAACATGTTGAGTAGATAGTTATTTGACTGAAACGATAAATTTGGGAACTTTTACTTTTTTTAAATTAATCATAAATTTTTCTTCGAAAAAATGACTGAATGTGTCAAAAAATGACTGAATGACTGAATCTGTTGAGCTTTTGGCACAAAAATATTTTAAATTTATGATTTCAGTCTAATAGTCAATATGTTTAATTGGTCAATGATGACAGGTATTGATAATTTTGATTCCAAATATCTCGAGAACCATTACTCGTAGCGATTTTTACCAAGAGACATTTTTTACGTAAAAAATATTGTAAATGTATATTTTTTTACTCAGAATTTTTGTACAAGTACGATCGAAAAGTTATTACACTTGAAACCAGCTAAAAATATGTAGGTGGCGCCCTCAAAACGTAGGTGTCATACTGACATCAAAATAAAATCTATCATGTCAAAGTGACATATCATGTCATATGGCAAAAAGCTACTCCTAGATACCAATAACAAACCATCAATATATTGACGTTACTTTAGAAATTATTTAGAAAAAATCGAAATAAAAATAAAACTTCTACACCCTGTATCTCCGAAATTAAGTATTTTAGAACATATATTTATACATATATGTCCTGAAACTTTTTTTCTTATTTTCAGCTGCAGAATGTGCTGCCGAAGTTTCCAGAATACAGTTCGGACCACCCTGTATAGTCAAAAATTGTTTATCCTTTCTTTACTAACGAGTACTACTTTTATTTTTCATTTCCATATCGAGACATTAAAGTTGCCTGCATATGAAGATACATATAACAAAGTATCTGAATTTGTTTTACAAAAAACCGACTGATACAAAGCACTGCAACAGATATCACTGACAAATT